CTCCTATAACAGCACCTCTCCTGTGTTTGTGGAAGGAGCAAAGCCCAGTTGCAGTACCAACCCCATTGGTTTTAGGTGATGCAAAGCAAATATGAGAAAATGGCACAGGGACAGCTGGATGAATAATGCTGCTGTGTTAGTGTACAGAAACATATGCACAGACAGAAGGTGTCATAAATGTGCCACCTGCCCTGTTATATATGGATGAGAAATGATTCCCATGGCAGTCTGTGTTTCTGAAGGCAACTTTTCATCTCTTGTGAAAAAAAAAACACGAAACTGGTTACCCGGTCCCTTGTGAAAGTAAACTTCAATGCGTGCAGGATAAACACAGACTGGCTGCGCAGAGGGCAACCAGCCAAACACAGCACACATCTAGAAACGCCTGTGTGAGCACGATTTGATGGGATGAGACAGTTTAAAGCAAAGTGAAAGGTTATAGAGGTGTTTTTTTGTTGTAGAGATTATTTATCGACAGGCAGTCAATGTTTTATCTCCGAAAACTTAAAACAAATCTGATAATAAATTTGTCCACAAAATATGAAATGGTGCAATAACAGCTTTCTTTAAACAATATTTTGTATTTGTTTAGCTTCTCTGTTCTATTGACAGGCTTTGGCCACTACCAGGCCGACTCCTGTAATCTCGCGTTAAGTGACTGCTGGGCTTCTCTTCTCTCTGACCCACCTGGTTTCTCTATTTCTAACTTTTTTACATAGTTTTTTTTTACTTGATACCAGCGAGGTTGAGAAGGGGACTATTTGAAAGCGGTGCGCAAATAAGCAGAGGAATGTGCCCAATGAGGTCACACGAGTACTGGCAGGGCCAGGCATTGTAAGGTGCCTGCTATTTGTATTTATGCAAAGCTAGAGGGCAGAGTTTGAGACACCATGTATATGTCACGTACAGTCTGACATTTGAATATGAATGAGATTGACAGCTACAGCTTATTCTTTTTTAGGTTTAATGAATTGTCCAAGATCCTAAATGGAACAAAGTAGTTTGGGAAAACGGCCTGGACTATGTCATTCAGTTGCCATGACAATTATGACAATAGCATTAATCGTCAGGTGCTGACTCACCACACTGTCTCCCTACGGAGTCAATAAAATAATAATTTCGTGGGATGTCCAAAGATGGTGGGGGGGGGGGGGCGCCGTGTCATGCTCGACAGAGCACGGAGCCATTTGGGCTCAGTTTACTGGACTGTAGGGGATGCTGCTGCCTTGGTGCAAGCGTTATCGCTCTGGGCTCGCAATTGAGAGGTCACCGGGTTCAATCTCCCCGGCACGGTAGTTGAAGCAATGGAGAAGTTTCTAAAAATCCCACCCAGCACCCGTCCACCGAGCTGTATAAACGGGTTCACCGCAGTCTGTCAATTGGCAGACCAGCATAGAAATGTCGGCCAAACACCCTTCAGATGGTGCTCTCTCCAGAGCTCCCTATAGTGGAGGCCCTTCTGCCAGCAGTGGTGTGAGTTACGATTTTACCTTTTACCACCTTGCATCATACAGATTTATTAATATTGTAAGTACTTACGCATATATATAACAGCTAGTTATTAAAAAAAGTGCAAATATATACAATAGGCAAAACTTGCAAAGCAGAACTCGGGGTAATTGATTGCATCGTTTGCATATACGCAACATTTTAAGATACCAAGTTGGCTTCATCCCTGCCCAAAATGCACTAAATCTTGAAGCTTGCACATCAGATATTGAGAGCTATCCTCTGGTCTCCACAACTCGAAATCCCAAGCACTCCTCCTACTTGGCACCGGGCGATGTTTTAACTCGATTCCACTTCCTCGAGCTTTGAGCCATCGCCGCCACCGCCGGCTCGACCTCACCGAGCCGCGCTGGAACTTGGCGGTCCGATCGCGAAATTGTGCTCGTTAAAAGTTACGAGAATTATTATAATTATAATGACTCGTATACAATTTATTTACCTCGTTTGCGCTTACTTTGCAGTGTAATAAATACCAAATATTCATCCAACACTAAAATCAACCAAATGTGATAATTTTCAGAACTAATTAAGAAACCAACCACTAACTTCAAATACAACCACACACACACTTCGTTACCAGTGGGTTATTTCCACTACTTGAAAGGCAATCTTACATCAGTAAAATACAGTAAACAGTCAACATACCTCACTCGTAAACAAATACAGCACTGCAATTGGGTGTTGACTGAGTCATGCTTTTTTTATTTAACTTTTTGTATTTTCCAATTTATATTTAAATGTGTTACCAAGTCTGTTATGTGCATCGCCCAGTGTCAACACTCACTAACTGGCTGATTAAATCTTTACGTAAATGTATATTTACATGTTGCACGTTGTGCAGTGTTGTGGGATGTTTGAACATTGAACTTCTTTCGCACCATACGTAGCCAACGGTGCTAACTGAAGGTGTGGGATGCAGTTTGCTCGAATGACGTGACTGTATACAAACACTGATTATTCTAATTACTATCATCATTAAGATGACACCACATAACTACTTCTGAAGTCCGCTCCAAAGCCTCCTACTCATCCTCAGTGTTGCATTTTTTACATCGCACGGCAAACGGCGATGGTAGCATGGAAATCAATTCAATAATTGTAATCCTGAGAGTTTTTGTTGAAGTCATGAACGAAATTTAACTTGCCTGATTGTTCTGCTTCCGTACGGCTGATGTAGATGCAGAGCAACAAACTACAAATTCACATTGAGGTGGTCAAGCCAGATAACCGCGTCAGGAGCAGCGGAGTGTATCGTCGCTGTGATGTCTCCTTCGTATTTGCGGATCGGGCATTGTATTATCTGTTCTGAATGACCACAGTCGTATCTGCATCTACCATGGTTTCTGCAGTGGATGCGGTTTAAAGTGGACCATGAGCTTCGTGGATGGTCAAAACAAGGGATCTTCTGCGTTGGGTTTTTCGCAAGTGATTTATTATAAAGTGGCGAAGATGGGTTTAGAGGTTATACACTAAGCTAGCACCACTGAGGTCCTAGGTTTACATCTAGGGTAACCACCCGTGTGTTACCTTCAGGATCTCGTGCGTAGTGAGTCAATGGAATCGGCCTGATCGCCAATGTCTGTACAAATAATATATCACATTAAATATGGATCGTCACTGCATTCGGCGGAAATCCAGATCAAAGACTCGATATTGATTGATATGCAGCAAACAACCTTTGTGTAAAAAAAGGTCTATAGAAGCGACTTCAGAGGTAGACCTGTGACACAAATATCGTCTTCTGTGGCTGTGTTTTCTTGCACTGGGTAAGTGCACTGCCAGCTGCAGAGTGCCAAATGTATTTTTGATTTTTTATTATCTCAGGGGACACGGTGTCCAATGCACATTTAAATAAAACTGGGGGAAATGAAATGACACGGAAATAGTGAGAACCCAGTTTAATAATCATGGGTGGCTGGCCTGGATTCGAAGGCCGGACATCGGCGGTGCTGGCTCAGTGCTCTGACACGGCATTTGTCCCATGTGCCACCCTGCCACCTCAGGACTGATTGGATACTTAACCACCAAAACAAATGGGGGTGCAGTCGTGGGGATAGTGATTAGCCTACACTGTGCTATGAGCCTGGCATCCTGACGTTATACTCCTGGCCACGGCTAACATCAGTGGCATGTAAAATCGGATCCGGTGTGGGGGGCCTCCCCCTGCCACTCCTCCAACCCGCACCTGTATGGTGAAGTATGGTCAAACAACCCCTATGACCGAAACAACATGTGGAGGCCTTCATCCATCAGTACTGTAAATGACTATTTCATAGCCATTAACAATGTAACCAGCACCTCCGATGAGCACGGCTGGCTATGTACGGTACAGAAGAAGTTCAACGTACATACATACAGCACACATCCTGTTGCTGGGCTTGGTTACTCATAACAGCTGTTAGTCCACAGAACAGGAAGTTGCCTGGAAACGGCAATATAACGATATTGAAATGAGTTTCACTCCGGGGCACATAACGTGACTGAATAATAACGTCCAAGGGTTAGGTAGAGCGGACTCCTCTCCAAAGCCTTTCTTTATTACCCCAACTTTACTCTGCAAAAAAGACAACTTGAAAATATTATTTCCTTCTCTGTGCAACAGACTCGTGCAGCAATTACACAACAAGGAAACGTTCGAATCCTCAGTGAAAATTTCAATATTGTATGTGGACTTTAACAGTTCCCATCGACAACCACGTTATTTTCTGTTACCGTGGGATTGGCTTTTTAATGTAATTTTGACGTTACGCAAGCCCAGATTTAAAAAAAAAATATTTGGATGGAACGCTTGTGGACCAAATCATCACGGAATGCGCCCAGTCTCGTCAGATACCAGAAGCTAAGCACAGATCCCAGAAGCTAAGCACAGTTTAGCCTGGTTAATGCTCGGATGGAGAATCACAACACAGTTGGTGTAGCCCGTGGAGGCTACATTGTCAGACAGTGCGGGATGCAGAAAATCCATTGTTGTACTGTACTTATTTACAATGCTCCTGCATCTACGCTCACCACCTTCACCAACCCGCATTGACCAGCATGGCGAAGTATGATGACATAGCCTCCTCCGAACGACCTGCACGGCATGGGGAGGAGGTTCTTCATCTAGATTGACAAAAAAGGGCTGTACACGTACAGAATACGAGAATTACAGTATTGAAATAAAACAAACTCTCCCTTTGAAATAACAATGCACGGTATCGGGCGCAGTGTGAACCGCGTGCCACATTTGGGTACGCATCAGAATATTCTGAGCCAGATCGGTTGGCCCCGTCCGTGAGTGAGGCCTCACGATGATGGGTGGCGTGGTCCCATTGCTCCACCTGCGACTTGCGAGATGTTGGATGCTCACAGAGCGGGGGTTGCTCTCTGCTCATGTCCGTAGACCCGTCGCATAGGAAGCCGCGTGAGAACTGCACCCAAAGAGACCATGAGGCGAAGCGATGTGTGCACCTTGTCTGGCACAATCGCCGTGGCAGTTGTTGCTGCTGTACCTGTGCGCCACACTGCCCTTCTTGATTTCTGTGATCACCAGCGGCTCGCTCGGCTTTCTGTGAGTCGGGGCTGCAACACAGGACAACGACAGGAGCATCACATCATAAAGGCGTTTTTGAGATGTATGAATAATAAACACTCCGCATAATTCAGGCAGCCCTCAAAGAGAAAAAAAGTAGGTGCCGTTTCAGGCAATGGCCCCTCTTCACAGCGGAGAGGTGAGTATAGGAAATGCGTGTGTCTGCATGCTCGAACAAGCCTTCAGTGGTGCTCATCTCTTTTGGTCTCCCCGAGCAGCGGTGATAATTCCACATTCCCATGGTAGGGGCCAGTTTATCCACAAGGCAATCCCTGTTGACTTCTCGCAAAGCGAGAGTTGTTTTAAGGACCCCGGAAAGGTGAAGGGCACACTTTACTCTGGACTTGCATATAACTCTAAACTTAAAAAATTGTTTTACTATGTTTATTGTTTAAATCTTATCGTTATCAATGCATAATCACCACTTCATCATCATCAAACCTCGGAAAGAGGCCAAGGATAAATACAGATATTAGGAGGAATTTGTTACACGACTCCTCTTATCCGCAGGAACCGGAGTCAATGGCAATGGAATTTTGTATGTGGCACAGATAATCATCATCAGCAACATCAATCCACAATAATAATCACTGATAAGCACGGACCTTAGGAGTCATTTGTTTGCCACTTCTGGTTCACTCCTTTTGTTTGTGAAATAGCCTTGGATAATTGGTGCACTATCTCCACAGGTAACAGAGGAGTTTCAAGCCATAGAGTCTGGCCGTGGGTGAATAGGGTTACAGATACACAGAGCTCCACTATACCTGTTTATTTACTTTTTAAAAATAATTCTACAATGTAAAATACACGTACAAAACTGACAAATACATGTATTTTTTGACAACACGATTTTGGTAGAGAAAGCTTAGTGGATCACATATCGGTAACCAAATCCAATTAGAAATATTCTGATGACATCACACCACCCATTTAAACTGTAGAACATTGTCACAATTCTGACAACTGCCTGATAATGCTGGTTGTAACTACCCATCAAAATGACGCACCTTGTTAAACGTTGTGCAAATTGATCCCCCGTTGAGTCTCCCCCTTCCTAATAAATGGCCCAGTGGCGTCGTGATTGTACCACTTGAGTGATGTAGGCCGGACCAAACGAATCTTTGCGGCGCACTGTAATGGGGCTCGTGCTTTATCCAATAAATAAATAAAAAGTGTGGATTGCTTTCCAATAACCGGTGGTGTCGAAGCGGCGATACATCGGCACGTTTTTTTTTTCTCACGTGACAACTTTATTCATTGACAGTGTCGGGTGGAGGAGGGGGTACGACACACATTATACGCACGCGATCCGACCTCAAAATAAAAACCCCAAAAATGAATCATTATTTCGGTCGCGAAAGCCTAATGTGTTAAATTCAGAAACGTTTAAGTAAAAAAGACTTTTCATCGTAGAAGACTGGTGGATGAGATGCAGCAACGTGCCATGTGAGGGAAGCATCGCTGCCCTGGAGGCCACAATGCTCTCATGGAGCCTGCGAGGCATGCTGGTTCGTGAAATCGGCCTATTAATCTTCTAATTGGTTTATTTTATCGAACACATAGCTCTTGGGCAAATATAAATGCTTGGGGAATGGGACGCATTACAACTTTAGAGTGGCAGATGCCAGCTTCGGGGAGCATTAGCATGAAAAGCACATAATTGTTCTCTCCAGAATGAGTATAGTGTGAATGCGTTTGCCAGTAATTGTGTGCAAACACCCACAACGTTGATTGAACGAGGATATGCATGTGTGTGTGTAATGTAGTGGGAGTGCGAGTGGGAGTGGTATCACAGCAGTTCGTGCGCTGCGCGCCGAACACAACGACCCGAATCCCGTTCATGGCTGCACCAGAGACGATTATCTGAACCACTCCTGGGCATCCCCCTGGGTCGACTCATCCTCAAATGAGTACCTGGCACGATGTGTACACATCGGCACTTGGGAGACAAAGGTGGCCAGGCGAGGTGCTGGCCTCCCACCCAACTTCGTGTGCCGTGCCGACCTTCATAGGTGCTCGCTAACAGCACTTGTTCCTAAAGTCGGTTTAGCCTAAACAAACACATTTCTGCAATTTAACCCGAGTAGCTTTTAGGAAAATTGTAGGAGAAAAGTGCTGTGAGCACGGCACTCGGTGACGGGTGCCGTGCGGTGAGTGAGTGGACGGCACAACACACGCGGCTGCATTTGTCTCTCCGGCGTTGATGTTCACACACCACCGCATACTCATTTAAAGCCGAGTAGACCCAGGCCAGGTTCAGAATATAAACCTCCACGCATATGCATTGGCCAAGAGTGGCACCCAGGGAACATATTGGACAGAACTGCGACTCACGATTGCACTTGCCCAGCCAGACTAAAGGCCTAATCAGACAATACTCATTTGTTTTTGATCACTTCATCAAGCACAACGAAAGGTAAACAAACCTATAATTTGCAATTCTTGAACAGGCCAAATTATTTGAAAGTAGACATGGCCAATGCTAGATTCACTAATCACAAAGAAAATATACTCGTAAAATAAAACTGCCGCTGCCCGAGATGCCTCGACTGAGACAAAAGTCTCGTATGAGCACAAATATACGTGAAGGAAAACACATTTAAACACCTATTGCATACAACCACAAGCGAATGATGAATAAAAGCCTCAAGTATAATGAACAGAATAGGTCTGAAAGATCTTTTGGGGAAACTTAGTAAAAAAAAGTGACCTTGCCTTCCCTGCATCCTGTATGTAGAGGCAATCAATTTCCATTGAACCTGCAGGGCTAATTGGACATGCTCAGGCACCGTTGGCATTGATTACGGTGGAAATTGCCATATCACGTTCCGCACAAACACTGCCAGCCACTTTTGCCAGCAGCCCGAGCCAGCTGGGAGAGGAGTCAGTTGCGAGCAGCAGCTCGAACGGGGAGAAGTTGCAAATGGGAAGCCTGGCAGCATCACAACACACTCGTCGCTGCCTTAGGGCCAATTTGTACATTTGCACTTCCTCCCAGAAACCTTCATGTGCGTGCCTGTGTGTGTGCGCGACTGTGTGAGGAGCTAACATGTCCTTGAAAGATCTGGACAAAGTCCCATCGGTGAGCTCCTCCGGCAGGCAAGGATGCGTTGGCTGGGTCATGTTGCTCGCATGCCCAGCCACCACATGCCTAAACAGCTTTTGTTCGGCCGGATCGAGGGTGCTAAACGGGCGCGGCACGGGCTAGAGAAGAGATGGAGTGAGGTGGTACAGGAAGATGTGGAGCTGAATGGACTTGCCGATGACTGGTACCAGCGGTGTCAAAATCGGCCTCTGTGGAGGAGGCTCGTGAAGGACGCTACTGGGCAGTTGGAGGCAGTCGCCCTCCAACAACAACGGAGGGTGGAGGAGCGACGCTCACAACAACGAGCGTAGCGCCGGGTGGCTAAAGCACAGCAAGTTGGCACAGTAGGGGGCACAGGTGGTGCATCGGCCACTCATCTCAGTCGACCCGTGGCACCTGGGTCTGCCCCATGACCTCCTGTCAGCGGGCATTCGGCACTTCACGTGGCCTCAACGTGCACGTAGCATGGCACAAGCGTTGTGGTGACGTAACCACTTAGTGGCGAATGGTGGTTGTTGTTGTTGTTGCACGACTATGGGGAGCGGTAGTGTAGCGGTTAGCGCTACGCTGCGCTAACCGCCGGCGGCCCGAGTTCGATTTCTGCTCATGGCCAACGCCGGTGACGATTATTTGAAGCGGTTCTGGGCCTTCGCTAGGTTGACTCAGTCTCAAATGAGTACCTGGTGCGGTGTGTAAACATCGCCACTGGAGAAACAAAGGCGTTCGGGCATGGTGCTGGCTACCCATCCCCTCGTGTACCATTCCGGCCTTCATAAGTGCTAGCTAACAGCACTTGCCCCAATAGTCTGTTAAGGCTATACGGGGGACCTTTGTTTTTGTGCAGTAGGGTCGTGGTTAGCACACTGTGCAATGAACGCGCCTACCTAGGTTCCATGTCCAATATCCTGCACGTGAATAATAATGGTGACGAATTTCTGAACCAGTCCTGGACCTCCCCTCGGTCGACTCAGCCTCAGTGTCTGGTGCCGTGTGTAAGCATCAGCACTGGGGAGACAAAGGCGGCCAGGCGTGGTGCTGGCCACTCAGCTCTTCGTGTGCTGTGCCGGCCTTAAAAAGCAACCCACAGACAGCACTCTCCCCAACAGCCTGTGAAAGGCTATTCGGGGGATCGTTGTCTTTGATTGTATATTGGCGATGCTTACTAACTCACTAGCGCATGCATATTAATTCTAAACGACTGTGTTGGCAGTGGTGGACAAGTACGGACGACAGAACACAGTACCACCATTGTGTTTGTTTAAATATGGGCAGTAATTAATATGGCAAAACATTAGCCGTCGCACTCGGGCTCGTCGACCAGTAATATAATTAGCGCTGCGCCGCATGCGGCTGGCGGCTCGCTGAAGTCTACGCAGCTGCAGCGCGAATGCCAGTCGCTCGCGAACATCCCACCATGGAGCATCAGACAGGGACGCTGCCGCAACACGGAGCGAGCGTGAGAACATCTCGGGACGATCCGGAACTCGCCCCTTCCCTCTGCGTATCGATGTCAAATCCCCGCCGCCACCCTCCCCATCTGAAATGCAGATGTTGGCCGAAGCTGGTCCCCAGGTATGACGCGATGGCGCGAGACGAGGGGGAGGAAAACGGTGGAGTCTCAAACAGGAGCCGTATTGAAGACTCGACGAGGTGGGTATCAGCCGTGATTCCTCTCTACTCTGCAGCCCCAACTGCAACGGGTACCGCTCCCGACCGCGTCGCAACAACCGCACATTAAAGAAGGTGTGGAGATATTATGTTCATAAACAGAACGATCAAGAACTTAACATACTGCGAACCATCAGGCACACATCATTGATGACGGCCCCCATACTCTGGTGGGACAAGCGGACTCCACTCAGCTACCCCAATACAACACACGTGTGTTCTGGTGGAACAAGCGGAACTCCACTCAGCTACCCCAATACAACACACGCGTGTTCTGGTGGAACAAGCGGACTCGACTCAGCTACCACAATACAACACACGTGTGTTCTGGTGGAACAAGCGGAACTCCACTCAGCTACCCCAATACAACACACGCGTGTTGTGGTGCAACAAGCGGAACTCCACTCAGCTACCCCAATACAACACACGCGTGTTCTGGTGGAACAAGCGGACTCCACTCAGTTACCCCAATACAACACACGTGTGTTCTGGTGGAACAAGCGGAACTCCACTCAGTTACCCCAATACAACACACGCGTGTTCTGGTGGAACAAGCGGAACTCCACTCAGCTACCCCAATACAACACACGCGTGTTCTGGTGGAACAAGCGGAACTCCACTCAGCTACCCCAATACAACACACGCGTGTTCTGGTGGAACAAGCGGAACTCCACTCAGCTACCCCAATACAACACACGCGTGTTCTGGTGGAACAAGCGGACTCGACTCAGCTACCACCCCAGATGCTGTGGAATGGCGACAACGCCATCTGACAGAGGGAGATGCTGTTGCTGCCACACCCACCCACAACGGATGCCATCTATTGCCTTTCACACACAGTGGGGCTATAGTTTATTTCATTAATTTGAATATTTTGTTATGCTTGCTTCCTGAAGAAAGCCTGCCTGCCTGCCTGAGTCCCAAGGCCTGTCAATTTTTCTCAGTTGGTGGCGACATTGTCCCGAGTAATTTGCAAATACATGTTGTTGGCATTTGGATGTTTAGCCAATACCCGTGACATTGTGTGTGTTTTTCTTTTGGCCTTCATAGGTGCTCGCTAACAGCACTTGTCCCTACAGTCTGTTACGGCTATATGGGGGATCTTTGTTTTTCTTTATAGCTATGGGAGGGAACCGAGAATCTGAAGGAAACCCCATGCACAGCAGGGGGAGAGAACATACAAATGTCACACAGAGAGGCGCCCGCTTCGGGAATTGAACCTAGGTCCCTCTTGCGCTGAGGCATGAGTGTTACCACTGCGCTGCCCTGGATATATGTATGTATGTGTTGACACGTATCCGCGTGCAAAAGAGAAGCGTACGTATCCAGCCTCAAACTTCCGTTTTCTCAGCTCAACATATTTCAGCAGTCTCATCAGGCTTCATGGTGTAAACAGGTCTCCAACTCTAATTATTCACTCTCTATCTCTGACCTCTATATGTATGTGCTATGAATATGGGCGATTGTCCGAAGCATCACCTATTGTATATATTTTCGTTCCTTTTGAAGCCACACGGTGTTATTTATGAATGTGTTGAGGTTTTTTTGTTTGTTTCAGTTGTGGCTGCTCCACACAGCAGCAATGCAGCCTTCATCAGAGCACGATACTTGAGATTCTATTCCCTTCGCAGGCACTACCCATAGAGGTATCGGTAATCAATCACAATGATCTCTCATACTGCCCATAGAGGCAGCAGTAGCCAATCACAATGATCTCTCACACTGCCCATAGAGGCATCAGTGGCCAATCACAATGATCTCTCACACTGCCCATAAAGGCATCGGTAGCCAATCAAAATGAAATTTCACACTGCCAATAGAGGCATCGGTAGCCAATCACAATGATCTCTCACACTGCCCATAGAGGTATAGGTAGCCAATCACAATGATTTCTCAAACTGCCAGAAAGGTATCAGTAGCCAACCACAATGATCTTTCACACTGTCGATATAAGCATTGGTAGCCAATCACAATGATCTCTCACACTGCCCATAGAGGCATCAGTACCCAAACACAATGATCTCTCACACTGTCCATAGAGGTAATTGCATTTGTTCATGCATAAAGCAGAGAGACAGGAACAAGTTATCATTGTCAGGGGGAAAATGTGTCACATTATTCACTTGTTTGCCCTCTTGGCCTTCACAGATGCTCGCTAACTAATACAGCGGGATTTACACTTCACATTTAATACATAAAAATATGGATTTAAAAAATGTCTTTCTCATCAGGGCCCCCTGGCATATACTGTAGTATGGTTTCAACTATTATTCACTCGATATCCGTGGCCTCTCTACGTGCTATGAAGAAGGGCAATTTCCCAAACCGTTGCTTATGATATATTATTCCTTTATAGTGCTGTTGACGAATGTGTGTTCTTTTTTGTGATTTGTGCCAACAAAGCAGCATCACCAAATCGTCAATATGAACATTAAAGACAGGTGTGGTTTTACATTGTCCTCGGCTAGCTTTGCCTACATATTAGATTAACCTTCGCAGTTGCATTTGCTTATGAGGCCCAGCCCTACTGATGCGACTCAGTCAGGTTGAAACCTGTCCAAATGCTTGTTTAAAGGGACGCTACATGGAAACTCTACGTCGGGCAAAGGTTCCAAATGTGAACGTATTAACCATTATATTCCCTTTGCGCAATTAACAAAGTGATTTAGCTCTTGGATTCGCCGTGCAATAAAAGCCAATCTCCTTTCACCTTTGCTGTCTTTTCGAGGCAATTTAAAAAAGAGGGGCTTCATTTTTCATTTGCAGTGGCAGCACACAGATATCCGGAGCTGTGAAGCCAGGGAAACCTGGCACACACCACGGCTTCCCATCAAACGGTGGTATATTGTTTCTATATTAAAGTTAGCACACATAATGTGAGGAAAATTCCAATGTTCACGGAAATATATTGAAATAACATCTGTTGAATTTTGGCAACGGTGAGCATTGCTGAACAAGCGCCTCGTGTAATGCGTTTATAAGTGGGTTTCGTGTGCGAGAGTGTCTGTGTTTTCGCAGTGGTATGGGTGGAGTGGTGGCGCAGTGGTTAGCGCACTGCGCGATTAACCTGGTGACGCAACTTTCGATTCCTGCTCACGACCAACATCAGTGACGATGATCAGAACCGGTTCTGGGCCTCCCCTTGGTCGACTCAGCCTCAAATGAATATCTGGAGTGAAGTGTGAACATCGCCTCGAGGGAGAAAACGGCGATCGGACGTGGTGCTGGCTACCCACCCCCTCGTGTGCCGTGCCGACCTTTATAGGTTCTTGCTCACACCACTTGCCCCTAAAGTCTGGTAAGGCTATACAGGGGATCTTTGTCTTTGGTCAGCCAACAATACCAGAAAGCAGAGGAACGATGCTCACAACAATGCGTGGAGCACCGGGCGGAAAAAAATGCTGCAAGCTGGCAAAGGGGGAGAGCACAGGTGATGTAACTGTCTGTCATCCCAGTCCATTATCCCACTGTATCTGGGTCTGTCTCATCATCTCCTATCAACGACCCTTCGACACTTCACGTCGCCTCAAAGTGCACCTATCCTGGCACGAACAGTGTGAAAACATCACCGCCGCTTAGTGGTGAACGGTGGGTATCGTTGTTTATGTGCGCCGGCCTTCATAGGTGCTCGCCAACAGCATTTGTCCCAACAGCCTGTTAAAAGACCATACTGGAGATCTTTGCCTTTGTGTGTGAGCACATGTCTGTGTGTGTGTGTGTTATCTCTGTGCATGCACATGTGTTTCCGTGTTTCTTTGACATGGATGTGTACGTGCTACTGCTAGTAATTGGAAATCTCACACTTACACGTGATGGTAATTCCGAGCTCCACGCCTTTCTTCTTGGGAAGTGTGACGTGGAAAGTTCCACTGCTCGGAATCACCGACTCTATGAATAAAATACACAACAACAACAGCGAGCAGGATTGCCTCCATACTTCTACACTTTTTTTTCCATTAGTAAATGACTGCCCGACCATGTTCCTGGCAATCAATTGTTACGGTAGAGTCAGATATCAGTTGTGTGGCACTCCAAGAGCCCAGCGAGGGGGAACTCTTATCAGTCAACTTAGATTAATTTTGCTTCTCCAAAAAATTAACACATATCATGGGAAGAATATTGAACAATATTGCAATACAAACATAACTATCAACTATTTTTCTTTTACCAGGTAAGGCCCACTGAGCTATAGAGCTTTTTTCAGAAGCGACCTGGCCACAAATTATAGCTCAACAAAGTGGTTTATTGAGTGGAAATGTATAGAAGCCAAATACACTGGACACACGTTGATTCTAAATGTGGAGGGAAAAATTAGAGGACCCAGAGACAAATCCACGCAACCATGGAGAGAAACATGCAAACTCCGAATATACAAGCGTCAGGGTTGGAATCGAACCCACTACCTCGTGTATACTAGGCGAGGTAGTTAACATCTGGTATAGAGAAAGTCGTGGGTTCGATCCCAACCCTGATGCCGTGGTCACGTAGATTTTATACAGGTCCTCTGGTGCTTGGAGGATGCACTCTCACTGTGGTAGAACAAGTGTAAACATGGGAATAATCAGAGGGAGAGAGCTCCTGCAATGCCATGCTTGTGTCTCCTGGACGAGGCTGGAAGTTGGGTTTTTCTCCGAAACCTTTCAACAAGTTGGCAAAGCTGGGCCGTGTTTGTCGCTCACTGATTTGCACTAATTTAAAGTCGTTACCGCCACTCATCACCAAAGTGCTCTCGAATTATTTTGACGAAGTACATTAATGGCCACTGATGAGTGACAATGTTCTTCAGGCTCCAGAAAGTACAGCCTGTGTATTATGCGGAGAAGTGGCACTGCTGCAGATTCAACGAGGATAACACAAATGTGAAAATTTGTAGAGGTGAACAGATTTGTACACGTACAATGCATTGTTGAATTAAAAAAGAAATGCATTTACGGTAACCTTTGCATGTGGTTGGATAAGTGAAACATTAAGTAAATACTGTTGGTACATTTGGGTATAGATTCCATGCCATGCTCCCAAAACATTGTTTAGCTGTTGCCATGTTGAGATTTGTCAAAGTGAGATTTCAAAACAAATCATGCATAGCATAAACGTGTTTTTTAAAGAAACATAGTTGATCTTTAATACTCTGGACACAACTGTATTGATTTTATTTGATCCAATTTTAGTAAACTGTTAAGTCCAGTTGAAACTGCTTCCGCGAAGGCTTTGCCTGGTCGGCTAACTTTTATAAAGCTACTCAAAGTGTCTCTTCTTTGGTTCTTTCGGTAAAGTCACGTAGAATGAGAATAAAATAATAAATTAATAAAATAAAATAACACAAAATTCTCACGACGTTTCGGCCACAACACAAGTGGCCTTCATCAGGTGAAGGGACGAGACTGTCCATTTCCAAAGGGGCGTCCATTAATTGGTGTCGCTGAGCCAGTGAGGGGAATTACACTTTTCAAGTCGGGGGGGGGGGTCAATATATTCCCTCAATGTGACACCTCCTTCGTAATTATACGAAGGAGACGTCACAGCGATGAAACAACTACGCTGCTCTTTGATGCAGTTATCTGGCTTGACCACCTGAATGTGAAATTGTAGTCATTGCTCTGCCATCTACATCAGCAGCCATACGAAATAAGAAGAATATTGTGATGGATAACATATAGAAACATTTACAATTATGGCCATACAACCCAAACTATGGACCATCTCGTAAACCACTGTAGCCTGCGCTCCTTTAGCGGAGGAAAAGCAAAACCACACAAGCTTTAACTTCCCAAACCCTCTCGTCATGGCTAGCAGACCTCGACTTTGGCATTCATCTCCGGAATATATTGCCGCGAGATAGAATGGAATAGTAATGACATCTGTAACGTGCACAATGTATCAAAGACATAAGCGACCACGACCGTTGAGGAGGAGAGCCAAGCTCTGTGCAACTCGAAAGCCAGGTGAAGAAGGTGGAGCCTCTAAGCGTCTCTTGAAAGTCGGCGTAGATCGAATGCTGCGGAATTTTTCAGCGGGATCGCAATTATGGGCTCAATTGTGAGGCGAGTACTCTGCTACGGCGCCACAGGCATAATCCCCTCTATCAAATATACTTCCAGAGGAAGTTACTGGGTGACTCAGAGGTGAGAGTGTTGAGCCGGCACTGCTAAGTTCCTCAGTTTGAATGCGGGCAGCCTGTGAATCAATCGGGTTCTCAAGTGCAGTGAGATTATGGTCTCAACCCAATCACCAACGACTGCACACACACACACAAAAACACCGTCGTCAAAATAGGTACTGCGCTTAATTTTGCTAAAACTCCACGGTACATTTCCGTTGCATTTTCACGGTGAAGCGGCGGGCGTTTGCGTCGCGCGCGCACAAGAGGCGGCAACAAAGGACTCGCGGAGCCAAATCTCACCGGCAACGTCAAACTCCACCTCGAGTGAGGCGCTGCCCACGAGGGCCTGCTCGTGGAGGTACTGCGACACCTCTGCCGGCGAGCCCAGCTCCGCCGTGGGGATGCCATTGACAGAGAGGATGCGGTCACCCGGCTGCAGGAGGCCGCACCTGTCAGAAGGAAGCGGAAGGGAGCGGGTGGACACAACAACAACGGCGAGCGCTGATCGCTACTACCACGTAGGGGTTTTTTTTGTTGCGGTGGTGCTGACCAGTTCTTGCCCTGCAGCACCGCGCATTGTTTGGCACGGCGTTCGACGTTTTACTTCACGTGCTCGGAGCTTCTGAAGGAGCCAAGCAGGAAACATTGAACATTGTGCCGGCTGAACAACAAGACACGGTACAACCTGGAAACACAGCAGAGCTATGGCAGTGACCTTTACTTATCAACGATCATGGCAATATTTGATCATTTAGATTTTGACATGCCCGTGGATTACCTCGTATGCTGAAACCTGATCGTGCAATGACCATATTTTTATACCCCATGTAGCGGAGGTAGGAACTGAGCACCTGTGTTCTTTCCTTCTTGGGTATTTATACTAAACTATGTTTTATTTCACAAGGTAAGGTCCACTGAGCTATATATAGCTCTTTTTCAGAATCGACCTGGCCACAAATGATAGCTCAACGACGTGGCTTATCATGTGGAAATGTAGACCAGCCAAATACTCTAAACGCACACTGATTCCAAATGTGGAGGGAAAAACCGGAGGACCCGGAGAAAAATCCACAAGACCAAGGGGAGAATATGCAAACTCCAAATATACAGCACGCTTCAAGGTCGGGATCGAACCCACAACCTCCTATATATACCAGGCAAGGAAGTTAACATCTCGCCACTGTGGCTAATGGCCTTGCTACCAAGGACATTCTTATCCGGCCTCCGTGTCCCGCATGCGCCTCTCGTCCTCAGGTCGTTTAAATGAGGGCGACGACTACAGCACCGTGATTTCTCCAGTGGACAGTGGGGGATTGGTGGACTCAGCGGCCCCCAAGGTGTCCCCCCCCCCCCTTACACAGCAGCCCGGTAACATTACAAAAATATTGCCCCCCATCCCCCAGCTCTTATATTGCCATGAATTCAAATTAACTGGAGGATATTTGATTAAAATGTAAAAAAAGACATAAAACATGTTGTTACAAATATGGAATTCCAATGAGACTAAAAGCATTTTAGTAGTTTACCCTGTGGGAACATTCTAAGCCAATTTGAGGCTGCTCAGTTTTATCGAAAAGCAATGCCTCCAAGCTCATTACACTCTCTCATGCAAAGCCACATGTGGTACCCAAACATCATCTTTATTCCAATTATTGCCATGTGGCAGTTCAGCGGAGATAATACAATACATTTTTGGGGAGCAAAGGTAGCAGTTGCTAGTGCGCTATGCAACAGAACGTGAGAGGTGATTGATATCTGAATGGGTCCTTCACCAACCCGCACTGACCAGTGTGGTGAAGCACGGTTAAAACAATCTCCACAGGAGCGACACGCCACAGTGAGGCCTTCATCCAGCAGTGGATTGACAAAGGAATGTAAATGGTAATTGTTTTCATCAGACAGTATAGGCATTGACTAGTGCAAGCAAGGATTGAGCAAGGCTTACTCACGAGGCAGTACACCCTTGCAGTAATGTCAGCTGTAATGCAAATCAAGTTAAGGAATACAAATATGTATATCTGACACTGGACTTAAAATTGTAACACCAGGGGGTATGCAAAGAAGTTTTGCTCGATGTGTTCTCAATCAAGCCTTGTATGTTGAACTTCTTCCGCACTCTACACACACAGCGTTGGTGTACGGTGCTTTTTCAGGAATATTTTGCTGTTTTTTTCCTGGATTTTCTGTTTGCACAGTCACATAGTCACTTTAAGATGTTTTCTTTTTCATGTTTTTGTTTTTTGTTTGTTGCGGTTGCACCCGATTCAAGAGCCGAATGCCTCACAGGGCTATACCTAATAAATAAAACTGAAAACTGAAACATTATAAACCATGCAAATCGGAGGTGCGGGGTAAGGACAACAAACTAAACACAAAAAGCAGCTTTAAATAAATAATATTTAACTTTAGATCAGTGGTTATTAACCTTCACTGTAGCCTTGTATCCCTTTGGTTCTCAATCGCTAAAAGTATTAGAATGTTAATAAATACCTAGGTTTGATAAAAAACAAAGTGCTTGTACTTACATGCCCACGCTTAATTTGTTTCGATTATTTACCTTCTAAAAAAGTTTGCCCATGTCTCACACTCCCAGCAAGGGCATCTTGCACCCCCCAATCGTGTATAGCTTCAGTGGTTTCCTAATATCGGAAGAAAGAGCATTTCAAACGGCTGCAGAAGCACATCTGAAAGCGCTCCCTGGAGGGTCATGGTCGACAAAGCATTGCTATTGTCCAATAACTTACCAATTGACATTGTGGTTACAATGCGAAAACATCAGTTTATATTGAATCTTCCCTTGAGAACCTTGGCACACACAAATGCACATCGTAACTACACATATGCATATATGACGTGTGTATCATTCACAAGTACTGGTTAAGTCAACACATCACTTGCTCAAATGAGAAAAGTGCGCCAGGGTGGCATGAAGGAGGTTGTGGGCGATCCTGACGCCTGTTGTATATTTGGAGTTTGCATGTTCTCTCCGTGGTCGTGTGGATTTTTCTTCAGCTCCTCCGGGTTATTCCCTCCACATTAATAACGGCTACCCTCGTTACTTTGCATCCATACTTGTTGCTCGATTTGCCACTACACCTGCAAATGAAACAGCTTATAGACACTTCTACACTCCATCATTGTATCATTTTAAACCCTATCTTTGTCCCATTACTTCACCAGCATTCCTTCCAAACTTCATTCTGCTCTTAAAAATAACACCATCTGCGAGCTGCTGCTATTCGTCCAAGGCTCACCGCTCTTCATCCTTTCACAGAAAATATTTGTGCAAACTATTAATTCTACTTTTCTTATTTCTGGGTGGTATTGAGCTTCATCCTGGCCCAAATGATAAGAACTCGTATAATTCTGTAGATTTTTCTGGCAGGAAAGGTGTTGGTGTTCTACATGTCAACATCAGAGGGCTTGTGATTAAATTAAGTCAACTAAAACAGAAGTGGCAAATCTTGACCCGGACATTTTTTGCCTACCAAAAACATTTCTCACTCCTGCCGTCAATGACTTGCAGATTACGATTGACAACTATAACCTTTTACGGCTTGACCGAGGATCTAAAGGAGGTGGAATTGCCATCTATGTTCGTAATACTATTGCATGTTCACCAGCTCACTCCTTGTTTAAAAAAATGTTGCTTTGAAGGTTTGGCTCTCAGAATAACTCTTCCAAATAATCAACAGATATTGGTAGTGTGCTGCTATAGACCGCCGAGTGGGAAGGATGTTGAAGCTGCATCTGCACTGAGAGCTTTTTGGGGGCCTCCCAAAAGGTGAAATAGTTTTAGTGGGTGATCTAAATTGAAATTGGCTAAACCCGCCGGCCGTGGCCACAAATTTTACGGATTAATTTAACTTGTTTCAATTAATAAATGTCCCCACAAGACCCAACCTAAAAAAATCCAGTCATCTCTGCTTGACGTCCTATTGACAAATGCCCCTCACAATTTCACACTGACTGGTGTTCTGGGTAATAACCTTAGTGATCACTCCTTCATTTTTGGTGTGAGATCATCAGCCAGACCCAAAGCCGCCCTAAATTGGTTGAGAAGCACTCTATGAGACACTTCCGCACTCAGGCATTTACTAATGATGTGCTTCACTCGGATATTGACAAGGTCTGTGATATCCCCAACCTGACTAAGGCTTGGGAGACCTTCAGGTACACGTTTCTCCAAATTCTTAACAAACATGCTCCGTTGGTTAGATTTAAAACTAAAGGCAACCGCCCACCATGGTTTGATCCTTTGATTACCAAGCTCATGAAAACTAGGGACAAGGCTTGGGCATGTGCTCAGAAAAGTAATTTGGTCAATGACTGGCTAGAATACAGGATTTTAAGGAATAGATGCATCAAAAAAATACGGCATGCAAAAAGTGCCTATTTTTCCTCCACTCTCCTGGAATCACATGGAAATGTCAGGATTTTCTGGAAAACAATCAAATGTATCGAAAAGGCATCCAAAACAGACCATCTGCCCGTTGAGCTTAACGGAAATGGGGAATATTTTTCAGATCCCAAAAAAATAGTTGACAATTTTAACCTTCATTTTTCTGAAGCTGGTAATCTTTTTGATAATGTATTGGGAGTCACCGCTGCTCATGCAAATTCCTACACCCCTGTCCAAACATTAAACGAATTTAGTTTCCAGCCAATCCACGAAAGTAATGTTCTGAAACAACCGTCCTACCTCAAAGGGTCCTCCTCTACCGGAGCAGATAGTATTCCTGTCTTTGCTCTACTAACTGTTGGTCACCTAATATACAAACCTATAGCCCATATTTTCAACCTGTCCATCAAAGAAGCATCAGTTCCTCTAGAATGGAAACATTCCTATGTCCGTCCACTTCACAAAGGGGGCCCTAAAGATGATCAAAATAACTAACCGACCTATCTCAATTTTGTCCCCGTTGATGAAAATTTTTAAAAAATTATTGACCTACCAAATTAGCACTTTCCTGTCCACCAACAATCTATTACATCTAAAACAATCTGGGTTCCGAAAAAAACTACAGCACCACATCGGCTGCATTAGACTCTCTGGATCACATTTACAGTAGCCTTGATAATAAGCAGTACTGTGCCTGTCTTTTTCTAGACCTGTCCAAAGCTTTTGATACAGTAGACCACGACACCCTGCTTAGTAAACTAAGTTGCCTTGGTTTTTCCGAAAATGCAGTAAAATGGTTACAAAATTACCTCTTTTCTCGCACCCAAACTGTATTCACAGATGGTTGGAGGTCAAACAGTGTTAAGATAACAAAAGGGGTTCCACAGGGTTCCATCCTCGACCCCCTTTTGTTCTCTCTTTATGTCAATGACTTGGTCACTGACCTGGATCATTCCAGGGTAAATCTTTTTGCAGATGACACGATACTGATTACTGCTGGCTGCTCTCCGGATGACCTCATTGCTAAGCTACAGGGTGATTTCAACAAACTACAACATCAGCTAGTTGCTCATAAACTAGTCCTGAATACCTCCAAAACCAAGGTGCTATGCTTCTCACCAGGACTAAAGCAGGAAGTTATTCTTCCCCAATTACATTCCTTAAATAATTGTCAAATAGAGCCAGTCAAGATCTATAAGTATCTTGGGGTCATCCTGGATTCAAAACTGAATTTTGAAGATCACATTGATTATATTGGTAAAAAGACAAAAATAAAAATTGGTTTTCTGTATCGACACAAGCACTGCTTCCCCCCAATGTTCCGTTTGGAATTGATAAAAGCTACCATACTGCCTCTGCTTGACTACTGTGACATCGTGTATAAATCAGCCCCAAGTACTGTGCTGAAGAAGCTTGATTCCATCTATCACTCGGCCTTAAGATTTACATTGAACTGCCCATATAGGACTCACCACTGTGATCTCTACATTGGGTCAAACTTAACATCTCTTAATGTTCGACGGCTTGTGCACCAGATCTTATTTATTCACGATGAACTTACAAAAAAATCCGCAGACTACCTGCTGGATCTCCTCTGTTTCAAAGAACAAATTTGACCTCAGGTCTTCGCTCATTTACCAGCTTCACATTCCCTATTGCCGTACAAAAACTGGAGGAAGGGCCTTTGCTATTAATGCCCCCAGAGTATGGAATGCCATTGCCAATAAACTGCAACTTGAATCGCTACCAATGAGATCCTCTCTCAAAACTGCTCTAGAGGAGTTGTACACCCCTAGCTGCCACTGCTATTGATTGGTGTAAAATAAAATAAAATGTTTCGCTCCAGATGACGCTGCAAAGTATTATCTGTATTTTGATTTAGCATGTTTAACTTAAAGGTGCATTGAAAAATTTGATACTCCGACCGATGCTTCTGTTGTTGTGGAGTAACTCATGCAACCAGCTACGGCTCTAGGGTTTGGTGTTACATGTTATTTATGTAGTTTATTGTAAAAATTCGGTCACAGTCCTTGTGATCACTGTTACATTGCAATTATGGCTTTATTTTTTGGTGATTTGGAAAAGTTTTTTGGTTTGGACATGTTTGTTTTGTTGTAGTACAGAGTTAGACTGATGGCCTTAATCTATGTTTTTGTGGTTGTTGTTGTTGTTTGACTTGCATCCCACTGGGATTTTTTTTACACAGCGTTGGTGTACGGTGCTTTTTTCAGGAATATTTTTACTGTGTTTTTTCCATGGATTTTCTGTTTGCACAGTCACATAGTCACTTTTAAATGTTTTTCTTGTTCGTGTTTTTGTTTTTTTGTTTGTTGTGGTTGCACCTGATTCAAGAGCCGGATGGCTCACAGGGCTCTACCAAAATAAACTGAACTGAACTGAGAATCAACATGCGTTTAGAGTACTACATTCGGCTCCTGTACATTTCAATATGATAAGCCACTTTGTTGAGCTATCATATGTGTCCAGGTCGCTTCTGAAAAAGAGCTTTAAAGCTCAATTGGCTAAATAAAATGAATAAAAGTTGTCTTCATCCGAACTGACAACCAGTTGGGGAAATTCCACATTGTTATGACAGGATACAGTTTACCAAAAGGATGACAATGTGTTCAAAACGTATCCAAAGTATTACGAATTTTATTGGATCCCGAGAGCTGACGAGCTGAGACGAGCACCCGGCCTTGTATTTGAACTCGCAACCTTTGAGCCAAGCTGCAGCACAACCCGTCTCGACAGCATTTATATAGACGGGCCACAAAGGTGCCTATGGCGACGTTGCAGACACATTTGCTCATCTTGGAAAATGGGATCAGATTTTTGAGTCAATGCACACGAGAAAGCAGCACGCTTGCGCTGTGGTCATGGAATCTGTCAGAGAATTGGGATACAGCTGTAAATTTCAACGGCAGAATAATATGACGCTCCTGTTCGAGTAGTTGGCACCGTACTTGCGAACCCGAGACACAGCTATAAAGGCTTGAAACAGAGGTCACCACACACACACACACGGACACACACTGTAGAAGCAGCACCTGTTTAAATGAGCTGTGTGTGTGCGCATCACGACCAAGGCCTCTAAAGCGTGAAGGTGAGCGGTTCGGCACATCGTAATTGATTTACTTCCAATGACAACACCTGAACTGGAAAGAATGGCCTCACCCTCTCAGTGACTAACAAGGCACATTCTTCGCAAACTGCACAGCAGGCATATAATATTAGCTCACTGCCAATCCAGCACCAATGAGAGCTCCACGTTTTACGAAGCACAATATAATTGTTTTGGACAGATAGTGAGATAGCCATCGTGCCTAAGCGATCATTGAGCCCTTGCTTCAATGATCGCTTAGGCCAGGTACCGTATGTACAGCATCAGGGTTGCTCACCCAACACATTCGAATTCTGTTCATTATGTTCAAGGATTTGCAGACATTCAGACATCCACTCATGGGTATCACAATTACTGTAAACAGGTACAGTAAAACCTCTCAAAGCCATAAGGTCATATGAAATGAATACTGACTTAAAACTTTCGTGACCGCAGGAATTCTAATTCTTGGTTCTTTCGGTAAAGTCACGCAAATAGAGAAAAATAAATAATAAAATAAAACATTTGACAATAATCAAATATTATTTTTTAAAATTGAAAATAATAAAAGCAAAAAGACTACGACATTTCGATCGCAACACAAACGGTCTTATTATTTACATTTTTAATTGCCGTTTTTTGCTTTTATTATTTTCCATTTATTAAAAAATAAATATTTTATTTTTTTATTTTATTATTTTATTTTTTGTTTTCTATCTACGTGACTTTACCGAAAGAACCAAGAATATGAAGTAAATACTTTTTCATTTCATTTCTACACAGAAACCAAAAACCCGATATGTATATGTTCACTAGAAATTCTAAACCTTAAAACGTACCCGTTGTATGGAATGCGGTGAACATTGGATGCCACGTGCTCTGCAAAGGTGGTCACTCACTTGTTTCAGGAGCACCATGGTGGCGAGATGTTAACTACCTCGCCTGTAACGCAGGAAAGCATGGGTTCGATCCTGACCCTGACGCCTGTACATTTGGGGTTAACATGTCTCCCTATGGTTGCGTAGATTTTTCTCCAGGTCCTCCGGTTTTTCCCTCCACGTTTAGAAACATGCGTTTCGAGTATTTGGCTGCTTTTCCATTTCCACATAAGCTACTTCGTTGAGCAATCATTTGTGGCCAGGTTGCTTCTGAAAAAGAGCTCTATAGCTTAGTGGGCCTGGTAAAAAAAAATTTGTTTATTTTTAAATGTTTAGTTTAGTTTCTTTTATATTTATTTTCCAAACATTCTTCAAGCCCGTCAGAAAATTTGTTTGACCTTCTACATCCAATGAACCTCAGCCTCCTCCTTTGCTTAATGGAGATGGTGATTATTGTGTGCAATCAAATTGTAAATATCAAATTGTAAATATTACATCAATTGTGATTAAGTGTTAATTAAATGAGTTTGTTGTAAATTATGTGTAAACATAAATGTGTAAACAAAATTTAACTTGAGAAAATTATTTACATATACCAGACATCCCCTACGAACAGAGAGCCTCCCCCAAATTCTCACCCATCCACTCACCACACTGCAGTTCACAGCAACTCGTTCACCCACCCACCCACTCACCACACTGCAGTTCACAGCAACTCGTTCACCCACCCACTCACCACACTGCAGGTCACAGCAACTCACTCACCCACCCACTCACCACGCTGCAGGTCACAGCAACTCGCTCACCCACTCACCACACTGTAGGTCACTGCAGGTCACAGAAACTCGCTCACCCACCCACTCACCACACTGCAGGTCACAGCAACTCGCTCACCCACCCACTCACCACACTGCAGGTCACAGCAACTCGCTCACCCACCCACTCACCACACTGCAGGTCACAGCAACTCGCTCACCCACCCACTCACCACACTGCAGGTCACAACAACTCGTTCACCCACCCACTCACCACACTGCAAGTCACAGCACCTCGTTCACCCACCCACTCACCACACTGCAGGTCACAGCAACTCGTTCACCCACCCACTCACCACACTGCAGGTCACAGCAACTCGCTCACCCACCCACTCACCACACTGCAGGTCACAACAACTCGTTCACCCACCCACTCACCACACTGCAAGTCACAGCACCTCGTTCACCCACCCACTCACCACACTGCAGGTCACAGCAACTCGCTCACCCACCCACTCACCACACTGCAGGTCACAGCACCTCGTTCACCCACCCACTCACCACACTGCAGTTCACAGCAACTCGCTCATCCACCCACTCACCACGCTGCAGGTCACTGCAGGTCACAGAAACTCGCTCACCCACTCACCACACTGTAGGTCACTGCAGGTCACAGAAACTCGCTCACCCATCCACTCACCACACTGCAGGTCACTGCAGGTCACAGAAACTCGTTCACCCACCCACTCACCACACTGCAGGTCACAGAAAGTCGCTCACCCACCCACTCACCTACTGACTCACCACACTGCAGGTCACCTCACTTCCTCCGCTTCTTCCCTCACACTTTGAATTGCCTCAAACCGTCTGTTTATTAAGTTATTTGTAACCTTGCAAAACTTAACTTAAGAACATCAACGCTTAACGATTACAACTTTAATTCTGCAGTTCCGTTTGTGTGAACAGCGACCAAAACATTTAATAAATACAGTACATCATAGGTGCTGTACTTGCCGGAGGCGAAGTAATGGGAGCGGTGGGTGCAGTGGTTTCACACACTGAACCATGAACTCGGCGACCTCGGTTCGAATCCTGGCCACGGCTGACATCGGTGTGGCAAGTGATTTGAACCGGTCCTGGGAACCATCCCTTCACCAACCCGCACCACAGCATGCTGACGACGTCTGGACAAACACCCCTGCAATACCAACGCGCCATGGCAGAGGCATTACATTCAACAGGGCGCTTGTGGGCGAGTCTGTGCCGGTTACCTCTCGGCAGGGCTGTCGGGCTCGATGTATCCGATGAGCAGCGGCGCTCCGAAGACGTCGGTGGAGAAGGTGCCGCCCTGCAGGTGTAGGCCGAAGCCAGGGCCCCCGTCGGAGGCGAGGTGCAGCGCCACGCTCTCTGTGTGCACCACCTGGCCGCCGGGTCCCAGCGTGCTGCACGCTGTGCGATTCGCACGCACGTGCACACACACAGCGCAGCAGCAGCAGCGACGGCGTCACGCAGTGCCACCACGTGAGCGGGGCGCACGTGCGCCCAGCAATATCTCGTAGCAAGTAAACCCCATGCAACAGACTGCTGATGAATGCTCGCTACTGCTGTTGCTCCGCAAGCCCAGCTAAGCCTACAAGCAGACTTTGGGGAAACCTTTCAAAGAAGAAGAGCAATTTTTGTTTCGTTTTTTTTGTCTTTGACCGAAAATGGTTCGAGAGCCACATCACACGCAGAGCTACTTGTACACAAACACAGCAACAGGTAAATACAGCAGACGACAACACACACACCGTGACTTGAATAAACAAAATCGGTGATAGAATAAGCTGCATCTAATTTATTCCCCCCTTAGTTATTCATTAACAGTACAATCTGACTGTATATTATGTTGTCACCAGGACATTCCATGGTGACCAATTCCCTGGCATATTTAATACATTACATATACGTAAAAAGAGGTTTTAATATTTAAGTGAAAATTTTATTGGTTGGTTTCCGACCCCGTAGGCTCGTGCAGAGTCGCGGTCTCAGCGTCGCACATCTGCACTCGCTGGTGACAATCACCGTGTTTGCATTCCTGATTCTGATTCGTCGTGCACCCTGGCACGACTGCGCATTGGAATAGCATCGGTGTGTAACTCGTCTTCTATTTGAGAGTGTAATTATTCAAACGTTGACGACATTTTTTAAAATAATGAATTTGGTTAAATTTGATTACTTACGGCTATGTTTACAAATGTATGGAATGGCTGCAATGAAGACATGACCTTGTTTACGATGATAACAGAAGTGGTTGGCCGGTTGATGCCAGCCAAGATCACGTTGCGTTGAGAGGTTAACGTCGCATGACAGACAAGTAGGGATTAATCATATATCAGAGGTCATCACGATAAATGAGGCAATGGTACATTCGACTAATCCACGAGTTGAATTTCTCAAAGGTGTGTGGCTGTTGGGTGCTAGGATTGTTGACAAAAGACCATTCACTTTCGCCCACACCTCTGCTAGTTTCCTACGTCGAGGCAAGCGCGTTCCTGCCTCAACGCCACGTTTGTCCCATTTGTAACGTCAACCCAATCGGTGCGGTTGTCGTTATCTTGAAATACTTTCATTTCCATACATTTGACTTTCACTTCCAACCTCAGACGATGGAGACAAACAACAGTTCGCCGATCTTTTATAGAGTGCAGTCGTGCAAGGTTACTGACATCGTTGGCCAGGAAATGTCTCTCTCTCTACCATCTAATGGAAACATCCAGGATGAATATGGCGTGTGGGTATATCATGCTCTTTACCCATTCACTAAGCATTTTTTTATTTTTATAACTGCATCTGTGTGGGTTACAGAATTCATACAAGTATCTAGATGCCCATTGAAATATACTCATGTCGTGAGACGGGAAGAATATCCCATCATCTTCATCATCAGCCATGATCTAGCCTCTGCTGGATGAAGCCCTCCCCCCGTCATCACCTTCCGCTATACAGCAGAACCCCACTTGACGATGGTAATTGGTTCCACGAAATCGGTAGGTAAGTGATTTGGTCATTAAGCGATTATAGTAAATACACGTTAAAGGCTTCATTCGTTCCGATAGCATCGAAAGTTACCCATTTCACCCAAAAAACGTACTTTATAATATTTAAACAATGAATATTAATACATAAAGATACTAACAACATTATAAAGTATATTCTTAGTTTTTTCGGTAAAGTCACGTTGAAGAGAAACAACAAAATAATAAAATATATAAAACAATAAAAAATTCTCACGACGTTTCGACCATAACTCAAACGGTCATCTTCAGGTGTGTTGGTTTGCATAAATTTATTTTTAAACGGCGCATTTATTTATTTATAAAAAAACGTTAGCGTCACGCGCAGCGATTTGGCAGTTTACCCAGGACAAGTCCATCTATATTTTGAAAAGAGGAGGGGGGAGACGAAATTTTTTATAATGTATGCTGTCTGAAAGCCAATTTAAGCGTGAACAATCAATTAATAACTGAAATGGTTTATCAAATCCTTCCAATGATTGCTAAGCCAGAATCCATCTTCTCGGTTGAAATTGTCTCTGTGTTTGTATATGTGGATAGCCTCATGAACGAATCTCTCATGGTAGCCAGATGGCTTGCAAAGAACCTCTGTCTTGGAGAAGTCAATGTCATGTGAGCCTACTGAATTATAACAGTGATCTGCCACGGCCGAGGTGTTGGTCCTACCGTGTTTAAGGTCTGCTTTGTGTTCACGAATGCGGTCCGAGACATGTCGTTTGGTTTCTCCAATGTAACTACTACCACAGAGGCAACTTAGTTTGTAGACACCAGGGGAACACATTGGGCTCTATGGAGGCCCGTCGTTAAGCGATTTGTCGTTAATAGGGATGGTCAAGAGGGGTTCTACTGTAATCTCATGCCACAAGCCATGGGTCTCCTGCACCATGAGCCGATGACATTGCTACATCTCCATGGTTCACGCGTCCTGGGTGAATCTCCTCCCAAGGTTGCACTTCCGTTATTGGTTTCAACCATCAGCTCTCATACCTGTGGCAAGTGACGACGTGTCCTACCCAAGTGACGACGTGTCCTACCCAAGCCACGTGTCCTACCCAAGTGACGTGTCCTACCCAAGTGACGTGTCCTACCCACGTGACGTGTCCTACCCAAGTGACGTGTCCTACTCACGTGACGTGTCCTACCCAAGTGACGTGTCCTACCCAAGTGACGTGTCCTACCCAAGTGATGTGTCCTACCCAAGTGACGTGTCCTACCCAAGTGACGTGTCCTACCCAAGCCACATGTCCTACCCAAGTGACGTGTCCTACCCACGTGACGTGTCCTACCCAAGCCACGTGTCCTACCCAAGTGACGTGTCCTACCCAAGTGACGTGTCTTACCCAAGCCACGTGTCCTACCCAAGTGACGTGTCCTACCCACGTGACGTGTCCTACCCAAGCCACGTGTCCTACCCAAGTGACGTGTCCTACCCACGTGACGTGTCCTACCCAAGCTACGTGTCCAACCCAAGGCCACCTACTTGTCCAAACAGTCAATTTCTTGTCCCTATCTTGAGTTTGTCCCCTGATCCACGTGTTTCTCTTTCTGCCTCTCAAGACTAATTCTAAGCTTGCGCATCTCCCACGCTGATTTATGGAATTTCCACTTTTGTTCCATTTCTAAATATCATAGCAGGTAATGTACACTGATTAAGAATGTACTCTTTAGGCACTTTGCTACGCTTTGCTTTTCACGATGGAGCCCAGTTTTCCAAAAAACCGCTCCAATCCTTGCCCAAGAGAATAGGAATCAGTTAATTTCAAAGCTGGTTGAGTGTTTTCTTTTTTTTAAAGACAATAATAAACATTAAAATGGAAGTCCCATCAGCCAATAAATTAAGTGGCTTTTACTTTTAGCAATTAAGCAACCTCCCATTACCTCTTTATCGTTTTAATATTACCATATTTTGCTGAACGGTATAAAAACTACATTTTTATGGCAAGTAGATGCTACATATATATGTAATTGTGCGGAATAATGCAATTTAAATATCCTGAAAAAAACAGTTTATGTTCGAGTGAATAGAGAATCAGCATCTTGCGATATCCACGTCCAGTCTTTAGATGAATCCTAAGTCTACAGAGGACACCGTGCTGGCATAACGAGTGCAAGGGGCGAGTGGTGGTACCGGTGGTCAGCAAGCTGACCTTTGAATCTAGTGAACTGAGCTCAATTCCTAACCGAGGCTAACAGCATTCACGAGTTATATTCGGCCGTCATGACACCCCCTTCACCAAGCCCTTACTGACCAGCATAGCGAAGTATGGCCGAACGACTGCACAGCCTACAGAGCGTGGCAAAGCACTCACCTAGAAGCGCATTGACAAAGGGTCGTACATTATCGTTATATTATCCAGTGCAAATACAATTTTAGCCCAAATACCATTTCAATCGATTGGGGGGTGGGGGGAATAGTTCTGCAATTGTTTGTTACTAGGCGTAGACCACTGGCTCCGAGCACAAAAAGATAATTATTCGACCGCAGAAGATAACCCCGGGATTGCACTCGAGTATCACACGAGCAATGCCGCCGAATACGCCGACCCGGCCATTAGCGCTCAGAGGCACTCCACTACCCTCTGCCAATAAAGCAATTACATTACATCTGCAACAAAAGGGGGTTAGAGTGTCCCGTGCTCAAACGAGGATGAGCACTGCCCGCGCTCGTTTTGAGCATTCACTCGTTCACGCGGGTGTCCGTGCGCGCGACCATGCATTCTGTCACGCGTGGACGCATTCGCGCATTAGAACGTTTGCTCGCTCGTTCGCTCGCTCGTTTTCTTCCCGAGCGACGGGTGCATCCCTGCATAGCGTGTACCAACCTGGCCACGGGGCCACATGCTGCGGCCGCTTGTTTTGAACTAAAGCAAACATTTTTGTATTTTACCAGGTAAGGCCCAGTGAGCTACTATATAGCACTTTGTCAGAAGCAACCACTGAGAAATGTGGATTAGTGATTATACATTTACACCGTTGACAGTTGATGAAAACACAAAATACGTGATTTGTTTTGTAATTTTACGTTCAAATTGACACACGTGGAAGAAGCGCTAATTACAGTTGACTGCACACCGAGCTCTACGGCGGCCAAATACTCTTAGACACACGTCAGGGTCAGCTTGAACCCATGACTTCCTGTATACCAGGCGAGTTGGTTAACATCTCCTAGCCGTGGTGCCCCTACCTGCACACAACACTCCAATGCACTGTGCAGAGGGGGGGGGGGGGGGTGACGCCGTGCCACTGTGGCCTAACCCACAACCACTGGGGGACCATTCGCGAGTAGCTCACCCCCAACCTCCACAGCGCATCTGCACGTTCGTGTTTGCAGGTAGAGCGCCGTATACATTTAGTCCATGTACCTCAATGTGGCAAAGCAAAGCCCGTCTAGTC